GCCAAGTACATTCTCCCATTGCCTTAAACAACCCCACTTCAATCATCCTTAATTTCATAACGCCCAAAATCACAGGAGTTTAGATGAGATGGATGTACCCCTTTCTAATCAGGGTTCAGAAATAAGAGGTTGCAAGGAATGGTGGGGAAAGATGAGCATCAACAACAGGTCAGACCAAACATATCACCAGCTACAGATAAATTCCCAGAAGGCAAAGCCTGCCCATCACCAGGATCCCTCTAACCACAGCCTGCCCCAGCGCAAGTGAAGGCTCAGCCCATGGGGAGAGTCACTGCCACCAGGAATTTCCAATTGGAGTAGACCCAAGGGGAGCATTCTCCACGTTTCGCAAGCGGGGTGCCAGCAGAAAGCCAACGTGAGGGGCCCGCGGGCATGGCCCCGAGCACGGGCAGAGCTGCAGGGTGGAGGTTCAAGGCTTTTCTGCCAGACAGCCCCAGACCTGAACTTTTTCAGATGAACTGGCTGCCACCAGAAACATGCTGAAGAGCGATATATGCCGGGGCATATTTGCCCATGCAACTGAGACCGACCACAACCAGGGCCTTGAGACACGTTAGCACTTGCATTGTATCTTACAAACCCTCCTAGTAAACATTCCCTAAACGAGAATGTATATTCCAGGGAGGTGCCCAGTGAAGCCTGCCCTGACCCTCGCAGGCTGCTCTGGCACCGCTGACCCTGGGTACCGATGCATCACCCTCCTGAACACGGCGGGCAATGACTCCTGATGGGGGCATTTTTAGAAATCCTGTCTGCCACTGCAGAACTGTAAGTGATTGTCATTTGGGCTGGAGGCCTGGCTGGGTTTGTCTTTCAAACAGCTCACAATAGAAACCTCTTTGCAGAAGAATTTGTTGAAAATCAGTTCAGTGAGGGAGAGAGGGATTATTGCTTTGTCATGGTAGCTCTGCCCCGGCGTGTTGTGTGGCCTTCATGAATGCAGTAATCCTCCCTCTCTCTCCATTTGTTAAAGAAGAAAGATGCCTGACTCAGTATTTCTCACTAATGGCAGTTACTATTTTTTGCCTGTTTCCAACATCAGTGTCTGTTGTTTTAACGCTGTTGGAGAACAAAAGCAGACGCTGGGGCCTTGCAGAGCAGTTGCAGAAGCAATCGGTGACTTGCAGATTTTATGTACTCTAAATGCTGTAAGCGTAACGTGTTTAACGCGGCAGCACTGCCCTCCCGAGGGACGGGGACTCACGCTTCATGCCTGGGTCAGAGGCAGCAGCGGACTTCAGCCCGGGGAGGAGGTAGAGGCAGGGCTGGGGGGGGGACTGAAGGTAACAAAACTCTGGCTGCCACAAGCCCTTCTTTTCTTTCTAAAAGCTTGCTCACACACTAAGGAAAACAGCATAACAAAAATGCTTCAGTTTCCCAGCTGCTAAACGTGGCAGATAAAGGCTAACGCAGACCTTCAAAGAGTGCCATGGTTAAAATTTATGAATTCTTTTCAAGAATAGCTAATACACAGCCAGTGCTAAATATTCTATTAATCCCAGCACAGCATCTTAACACGCATCCACGGTCCAGCTTAAAGCCTAACTTTTGTTTTAATAAGGTAACAAAACCCACTCTTCTCCATCTTAACTAACTCAAAAGTGAATTCAGAAGAGCCCCCTTTCCCCTTCTTTTTGTGCTTTCCCAACCCCTGGGTCTGACCCTTCCCAGGATGAGGCAGAGGCACTTTAGGAGGAATGAAATCACCCTGGAAAACCGCATCCTCCAGAGTGGTGCCAGCACAGAAAGGAAGAGAAAAATGAGAGGAGAGCAGAGGGGAAAAACAGCGATTAAAGTGATCTAGTGACCGAAATAACACTGCACACAGGGTCGCTTACTGATGTGAAAAAGGCAGCTATTCCTGAAAGCTGGAATCCTGAGGAGCATAGAAGGGAATCCATCACACCGAGTGAGAGAGCCTGGAGCTCCCTGCGGCCGCGGGGCACCGCCCCACCGCCCAGTGCCGGGCTTTAAAGCATAGGGCAATAATTAGAGTCACTGAGCAATTACCATCTTCCTCCTTCAAGCCCAGGTGTATGAACTGCCACGCTCTGCCCGGCCCCAGGGCACGGCACAGCTCCCTGCCACCGCTCACCCTCACAGCCTGTGGGTTTGGCATGAGAGCAGCAAACCTTCCCGGCTACGCACCTCTGCTGCGTAACATCAGGCTGGAAAAATCATACAAAGCTGCTCCGACCTGCTACCTCACAAAGCCCCCCTGCAGCTGCAGAGCCCCTTGCCGGGGTGCCTGCTGCCCATGTACCCCCTTACTAGGGTGTGTACCCCCTTACTGGGGTTTATGCTGCCCCTGCATCCCAAACCTGCTCCCTCGCCCAGGGAGAGCATGCGGAGCGAGCGGGCTGCCCAGGGATGGACCAAGCAGACATCTTGTAGGCAGCATTTCCAAGCCCGAGGCATCCGAGCCGGACAGCTAACCCTGAGGACAAAGATTAGAAAAGAGGCAGAAAAGGGCTTTCCGCACAAAGTGTTTTGCAGGGTGCAGGAGCCGGGCTGGCTGCTGTGCCCAGGGTGCCAGCCCCAGCCAGCCCCAGCTCTGGCTCCGCACCACTGACTCACAGGGTGACATCCAAAACCCTTTTGTCCCCTTCAGACTCATTTCTGGAGTGGTATTGTCCTCTCCGAGTCAGCCTCCCAAAGATTTGCACTTTGCCCACAACAGTCTAGACACAGAGTTCATAAATGAATCATGACTTTCTTGTGCTCATAAAGTCTGTCCTTGCTTCTGGCTCTTAATTTAGATCTGTACTTCAAGAGTCGAAATCTGGGCGTCAGCCTTGACCTCGGATCTTTTCTTCCCACATCTCTGGAGTTAGTAAATCCGACTGTCCCACCTCCAGATGAGCCCTGCCAGCACTCCCCCATGCAGCGACCTTATTTCCGCAGAAAGCCTGACTTCACCATCAGCACCTCCCAGAGCAGCTCTCACCGCTGCCCTTCGCAAGCCAGAGACAGTGGCTGGATGGCTTCTCCTCCAGAGATGTCCTTGGGCATCCCCAATGCTGCGCAGGGGCAACCTCCTGGTGCCCAGCAACCCCCTGTGCCCTTCCTCGCTGAGCTCACACCTCCTCCTCCTCCTCCACCCACACGTCCCTCTGCATGGACAGGGCCGCAGGGAGAGCTGCTCTCCTGCCGGCACCGCGAAACAGCTCTCCTGTACCCCGTCAGGGCCCTGCCCTGGGTCCTATGAGAGCCACCGACCACCCCGAGGTGGAGCCAGCCCCGGCGGTGGCCCGTGCAAGGTGCACAGTCGCCCTTACGGGCTCCCACCCAGCATCCCCAGCCCAGGGTTTGCAAGCAGGCAGCTTGCCCAGCCTGCAAGCCGACCTTCAGGGCACCGTCACCCTCACTTGCTTAGGATGGCCCCCGAATTGTACGCTGAGCCCGTCTGATCTGTGTTTGGGTCACAGGACACGAGCAGAAGCCAGGAGCGAGTTATTTCACCGTTTGCTCTCATCCCGCGCTGCCCGGGCGGACAGGAGGGGGAGATCTTTACCGTGACAAATCCAGTCTGTGCAGCAGAAGATGAACTCCCGATCCAAGCTGTTCGCTTATACCAGAGACACTCTGCACACCGTAAAGCCCCCTGAGCTCGGTGCCAGACGACCTGGCTGCTTTCTGCATGTCTCTCCTGCCACGCGCTGCCTGGGACAGTCGCACACACGCGGCCGTGGGCACAAGCGATCTTCTGCATCCCTGCACCGTCCAGGCAGGAGATGGACCACCCTGTCCCCTCCGCGCGTTTCCAAACCCACCCCCAGACCTTGCGCAGGGCTGTTCCCATAGCTGTGGCCTGGCAGCTCCCCAAAGCTGCCCTGCCTTTCACCCACTCTGATTATTTTTTTCTCCAGAGAGGTCACTCATTAATTCTGTAACAGCTGCACATCCTTACAGGGCCTGTTTATGTTGCACAGAAGAATACTACTCCATTGGGTACATTTTCCACCGGAATTTCCATGTCCCTTTATATTTGAGTTTCAACTGCAGGTCAAATCTTGGACATAAAATACAAGTATTTAACATCAAGTAAAACACCCTCCCTTCCCCTTCCTTAATATTCCCTTTGCAGCAGGGTGTTCTAAAAAGCTTCTGGCTGATGGGAAGAGTTTACTAACTCCTAAACTATCAATGGGGGGTTTGTAGCTTACACCTAACCTGGTGCAGGTGCGCATGCGTGGGTGCCACACGCAGCAAATGGTGCAGGCAGTCAGGGGATGCTCATTTACTCCCTGGGGACCCTGCACCCCGGCACGGGGGCTGAATGCGCGGCTCCTGAGTAAGAAAAAGATAAAAACCCATTGGGGTCCCGGCCGCGGCATCCCTGGCCGGGCAGGCAGTGACGGCAGCTGCGGTTCCCCAGCCGTGGAGCTGGCACATGGTGGTTCGGTCCCATCGCCTGAGCCCGGCTGCATCCATCGCCCCTCTCCAGGCTGGCTGCTGCATGCCCAGGGCTTCTGAGAGTGGCTGCCTGCGGGGCGCCCGGGACGGGCAGCTGGCAGCATCAGGCGTTTTGGGGGATGTTATTGTGTGCGAGCGCAGTTTGGATCAGCCCTTTCCTGTCCACGTAGCCCTGCAAATAGGGGATGTTTGTGCCCTAAGACCAGCCAGGTTTCAAAGGGGAAAGCTACGTATACTGGGGTGCATTTATGTAATTTTTAAAAATTTGGCTGAGCTAGGACAAGCATCTTATGAATTGCACTGGGATGGAGACGCTCCATAAACATATAAAACATTAATATCGGCATTCAAAGTCCCTGCAGGACCCACATCACTGCAGCCTGCTCCCAGCACTCCGGTTACTCCAGGGCCGTGAGCAGCCCGGCCACTGTCATGGTGCAGCAGGGCTGGCAGCGCTCACATCCCACGGGAGCTACGAGGCTGCCTTTTGTGTCCCCAAGTTTTTTGGTTTAGTTTGGGGATTTTTTCCACTTAGATGATCCAGGGCATCTTTCTGCCTCCCGTCACTGCTAGCACCCTCGGCTGCATCCCTGTGGGTCAGCCTGACCCCATGGCTTTCCCCTAAACCAGCTGCGGAAACACCGGGCACGACAAACATCCCCGTGTCTCTAGACTGCCCACGCGGGAGCTGGAAATAAACAGCGTGGGTGTCACCTCCGTGGACAGCACTCTGCAAAGCGCTCTGCTACAGCAGCTGAGTTTCATCAGGTAGTTAAAATTGCAGACTTCTCTCCTGCGACGTGCTTTTTATGGTGGTTTGTTGTTTATGGAGATGAGAAAGGGTAGAAGAGCCTTCGAAAAAATATCCCCTAGCCTCTGAGGGTACTGTTATGGAAACCCGTGGCAGCGTCCGAGGCAGGGCACTGTTTTCCTTGGAGCGGTGCAGCAGCGGCTGCCTGCTCCTGCCTGCTGACACGCAGCCTGTGGTCGCGCTGCCTTCTTCACAGATGTCACAGCAAGGACCAAATTGGTGCCCACCTCTTTACGGACGCAGGTGCCTCGGTATACCCCTGTCTGGGACAGGGAGGACCAGAATTAGGGCTGTGTCTTCTACCGAGGTCTGACACGTCCCGGCATGTGATTCATGCTCCTTTCTAGGCTGGAAATGAGGATGACAAATGGACAGCCCAGTGTCCGTGGGCCTCCAGAGCCACCCGCTGCCTGGAACTGAGAACTCCCCAATTTTTGCCTAACGACCATGGGTCAAAGAAGCGACTTGTCTGGCTGTACAGACAGCAAGAGGTGGAGATGCACAGCTTCTCTCGCTAGTTTACTCTAGTGGCTAGTTATCCAGGGCTAATTATTCTGGGGTTTTTTGCTGACCTGCTCATCTGCACTTAGCAAGATTCAGCTCCGAGTTTGCCTTGCTCCGATCTTACATTTGAAGCTCTCCTTGCATGCTCTTATGCACTGCACTGGAAGGCATTTTCTCCAGCCTTGGAGAAAAGTCATGCAGATAAGAAAATAATTATTTATTGGAGGATTTTCCTAGTAATAGCAATTATTATCTCAAGCTTTTGTCACACTGTTAAGTTATTGAGCAACAGTGTGCACAGGAAAACACAGCCCAAGCTGTTTACTCAGGCAGCTCAGAGAAAAAAAACAGGCATTAGCATCCATAGCTAGTAGATGCTAAATTTAAAATAAGGTATTGAGCAGCAGAATTAAGAACAGAATTCTTCCAACCAGTTTTTCTTAGAACTTAACAAGACAAGCTATATAGTCCTTATACAAATACTTCAGAATGAACAGAATTAACTCTCTGCACATTTTCAGTGTAGTAAGCCACTGCTGAGCTTATGGTGAACCCAGAAACCAAGTGATTTTCCTCGGAACAACCGAGACTGAGACTGTGCTGGAGGAAGTTTGATTTCTGAGTGATGATATGTCTACTGATGGTTAACCACAAGGATGGATGTGGGGTTTCACTTGGCCTGGAGATGAAACCCTCAATTCCAGCATCCTCTGCTTCTTTGGGGAAGGACATGGTATAAAGTCTGAACCCAAACTCAAATCCCAGTTTTGAAGCCTGAGCCAGCCCTTGATTGAGCTTGGCCACCCTTCAGAGGGCCAGCTGCAGGAAGTGTTGCATCTGACACCACGTGAAAATTCCTGCTTTTCACTCCTAATTCAAGCCTCATGCCTTATTAGCAACAGCACACCGAGATTTCAGACCCATCTGAGCGCCGAGAGATTGGCAAGGGCTCATAGAGGGTGAGCAAGAGGAGCAGTGACCAGGCATGTACTGAAACAGGGCCATCAGCAGGAGTTTTTGCCTGGGATGGGACCAGGGCTCAGCAGGGACTTGGTACAACAGAAGAATCAGATCAGCCCCTTGGCGTAACAGCATTGCATAGAGTGAAATTTTGGGGCTAGAATCTGTCATTTGGTGTCAGCCGCTGGTTTTACCGGGGCAGAGCTGGCCTGCGAACAGGCTCCCCGCCGCAAGCAGCCAAGCGTTTGCATCTCCCGTATCGAAATGCTCCAAGAGACAGAGAGAAGGGAGGAGAGCTGGAGAAAAGCACCCATAACCAGAGCAGCAAAACAAAGCTGGGAGAAGCCTGCCCATGGCCAGGAGTGGCGGCGGCCGGCACTGCCGT